AGTAATTCACAGTACCAGTGACGTGCGTGAAGGAGGTGATTTTGCCTGTGACATGGCTGCCACAGGGCATGAAACGGGGCGGGAATAGGTTTCCTGGCAGGGGTGCTCATATCTCTGGGCCCACGCACCTTGCTACGAGTGTCCCTTCCCCACTCTGCTCGCTTATCGCTCGCTGCTAACCCACTGTTTCTGCATGTTCAGCATTCTCAGATACACTCATGGAGGCGACGGGGCAGAAGAAAGGCTGCCTCGGCAAGCAGTTCTTCGCTGTGCTTCTCTTCCATTTCTTCTTTGGCATCTGCTTATTTACCTACATTCGGCAAACCAGGGAACCAGAATCGGCGCCCTGCAGTTACCCTCCCTCAACCCTGCCAGGCTCACTAGCCTCTCCAGAAAACACCTCAAGCCCAGAAAAGAAAGCCCCAGAGCTCACCATCCTGCTCTGGACTTGGCCCTTTGGGCAAAGTTTTCCTCTGACAAAATGCTCCACGTTGTTTGGCATCCCTGACTGTCATATGACAGCCGACCGCAGCTGGTACCACAAGGCCGATGCTGTGCTTATGCATCACAGGGATGTTTATTCCGGTCCGAGCAGGCTCCCGCGGGAGCCGAGACCCCCTTTCCAGCACTGGATCTGGTTTAACTTGGAGTCTCCCAGCCACAGCCCAAACCTGGGTGCCATGAACGGTATCTTCAACATGACCATGACCTACCGAAAGGACTCTGACATCTTCTCACCCTATGGGAGCCTGGAGCTCCTCAGGCAGCCCCACAACTTCACCATCCCAGCCAAGACCAAGCTGGTGGCCTGGGTGGTGAGCAACTGGAACCCAGGCTTGCGGCGGGTGCAATACTACACTGAGCTGAAGAAGTACATCCACGTGGATGTGTACGGCCGTCAGCACAAGCCTCTGTCACAGGAACAGCTCCTCCCCACTCTGTCCCAGTACAAATTTTACCTGGCCTTTGAGAACTCTCTGCACGAGGACTACATCACTGAGAAGCTCTGGAAGAATGCCTTGACCTCCGGGACCGTGCCAGTAGTTTGCGGGCCTCCCCGGCAAAACTACGAGCGCTTTTTGCCCCCGGACTCCTTCATCCACATTGACGACTTTCCCAGCGCTCTGGAGCTGGCTCAGTACCTTGAGCAGCTGGATAAGGACCCCGTGCGCTACGAGCGCTACTTCCAGTGGCGAACCTGGCTGAGACCCTCCATCTCGCCAGGCTGGATCTTTCACTACTGCAACGCCTGCCAGGTTTTGCACAGGACAAAGAGCTACCAGACCATGCGGAGCTTGAGTACCTGGTTCCGGTAACCCATGCAGGCACGGTGCTCTGTTGCCTGATGTGGGCTGTTTTCCGCTGGCTTGATTGCAATTAGCCAGGAGAGAGGCATGATTTGGATTGCACATAACACGACTGCATTTGGTAAAGGCTGGGGGGATGTCCTTACCATCACAGCCAATGGGACCTAGTGCTCCAGTGGAACTTAGGTGTTTGAATACTTTTCTGGATCTGGCCTGTATTGAGGCAGTCTCATTCTCAGAGGTTAGGATGCCTTAATTAATGCGGCTGTGGGGTTTTAATGGTACAGATTAAGCCTGGAGAGTGGGAGCAATCTGGTCATATCCTCCGGAAATGAAGGAAGAGGAGGCTTGCTTCTCTGGTTCGGGCATGGGGTAAGAGTACACGTAGTCAGAGGGTCAACACTTTGTCAGGGCAGCAAATGCAAAAAGCAGGCGGCACTGCATGGCGGGCGGTCTGTGGGTCCCAGAGGGAGCCGTAAACCCTCTTGAATGCAGATGTCTCTCCAAAGGCACTTGCCAACAGGAGCTCTTGCTGACTCGGGGTCTGTGAGGGGTCACATCCTGCCTCCTGAGGTGCGTTCAGTAACTGTGACAATAAAGAAGATGCTCTCTCCTGGATGCCTCTTATGCTCCTTTGTAGGGTTGCCTCCCAGGCGAGGCAGCAGCGAGGAGGAAAGAAGCCCTTGGCCTGGAATCGGGGCAGTCGGTCAGGGTCTCTTCCTGGTTTAGCCTCTGAAAGCCTTCCTCTTGCTTGGGGGCATCTGAGACCCCACATCACACCTCTGTCCCCCCTCTTGGCCTCTTGTCTCTTTTGGGCAGGCACCACTCTCTGGGTGCGGTCCCGAAGCTAGTTGGCCACCCCCCTGACTGTGTAGGTGTCCCACTTCACAGCCCACTAGCTTCCCTATGAGAATAGGATGCCAAACTGTGCTGAAGGCCTTCCTAAAATCCAGGTAGATGACATCAGCCTCAGCTCCTGTGTCAAGGCAGCGTATGACCTTATCGTAAAAGGCTATAAGGTTTGTCAGGCAGGATCTACCTGTGATGAACCCGTTCCTGGCTGCAAAGCTTTTCTGGCAGAGGACAAATCTGCTCTTTGATGATTTTTTCCAGTATTTTCCCAGGGAGAGAGGTAAGACTGACTGGCCTAAAGTTACCCAGCTCATCCTTTCTCCCCTTCTTAAAAATGGTCACCACGGTGGCCCTTTTCCAGTCCTCAGGGATCTGGCCAGAGCACCATGAGTGTTCAAACAGCCATGCCAGTGGCTCAGCTATGACCTTCAATTCCTTCAGCACCCGTGGATGGAGATCATCCGGGCTGGACACAGGATGTCCTCCACATCCTGTCTCTACCTCCCAACACCACCCTCAAACCCCACCTGTTCTTCTCCCACAGACCCCCCACTTAACATTCAGTCTGCTCCCAGCCTCCACAGGGCCCATCCGATTTGCCTCCTACCCAAGTCATCACTTCTCTCCTGCCAGGAGCTACAGACATGGCGTGACCAGCAGCGGTGGGAGGACTTGAGAATGAGGGAGACCATAGGTGTCATCCTGGAAATGTGTGTGGAGTAGCAGAAGCAGAACATCAATATATGAATCCCTCTGACTGTGGAGAGGCCAGTGGTGATAGGTATCTGGAAGCTGGTGAGCCAACCCCTGCTGATCTGTGGCAAGGTAGTTTGGTCTGAGCAAATCTGCTGCTAGTGCTCCCCTGGAGGAGGTGCGCAGCCATAAAGAGGGTGGTTGTCCCATTCTTCCTGATGCTTTGGGACCCCCACATGGTTATTGTGGCAGAGGGCAACTGTTGGAGTGTCTGCCCTAAAATTGATGCCCTTCAAAGCATGGGGCCCAGAGTTGATCCCTGCCATGACTCTGTGGATTTTAATCCCTGTTTTGCCATTGAAATTCATTCATTGCTCCTCACCGCTAAAGAAACTGCTGCCTGTGGGGTAGGAGCAGACTCAGAATATTCTGGGGCTGGTGGAAGGTATGGCAGTTTCCAGGCTGCTGTGAGTTTGACAGGGGCTGTCTGGGCTAGGAGGGTAGGGCTAGGATGAGGAGAGCAGCTGAGTTCACTGGTCACCTGGCTTCTTTGCATCGGCTCAGGGGTCAGAAGACAGCAAAGACGTGGGCCCGACAACTGCCAAGAGCAAAGGTCGAGGCTGTGGTGGACAGCAGAGCGTGCCTCCTCTCTCTCCCAGCACGGTAGCGAGGTCAGCCCCTTTGCAAGGGGCAGTCTCCAGAGCACACAGTTGTGAGCCACCCGGTACGTACCTCACCCGTGGACATGGCGTGACCAGCAGCGGTGGGAGGACTTGAGAATGAGGGAGACCATAGGTGTCATCCTGGAAATGTGTGTGGAGTAGCAGAAGCAGAACATCAATATATGAATCCCTCTGACTGTGGAGAGGCCAGTGGTGATAGGTATCTGGAAGCTGGTGAGCCAACCCCTGCTGATCTGTGGCAAGGTAGTTTGGTCTGAGCAAATCTGCTGCTAGTGCTCCCCTGGAGGAGGTGCGCAGCCATAAAGAGGGTGGTTGTCCCATTCTTCCTGATGCTTTGGGACCCCCACATGGTTATTGGCAGCTTTGCATGCTTGGGGTTCTCCATCTGCATTAGGGTGATGGACAGCACATGTATTTCCATCCATTGCCCTCATCCTCCTCCAGCCTTGGAGTAAGTTCAGAGAAAGATGTTTTCTTCCACTTTGCTGCTGGGCATGGTGGGCCACCTTCATGGGTGTCAATGCAGGGGAATCCAGGAAGAAGAATTGTGAGACTTTTCACGGACTCCCCCCTAGTTTCCCTATGAGGAAGGAGAGCTTTGCTCACACTACTCCCAGCGCAGCGATCAATGGTTGAACCACGTCCTAGATGACACTTGGTGACCCTGCTTAACTTTGACTCGTGAACCCCTACATGGCCCATCTTCAGTGGAGGAACTCCTGACAGCACAGCTCTAGGTGACAGCTGACCGCACCTTTGGGTGGGGGTGCTTAGCAGGTGGCTGGAGGGAACTCATTGGTACCTTCCAAGAAGTCTGAGTGTTGTGTTTTACATCATAGCTTTAAGAGCAAGGGTGAGAGCCGAACGAAGGGCTGATGAGAAGACATGCTCTGGAAATCCCGGATGCGTCTAAGGAAAAAAAGGACTAAATCTAGCTGGATCTTAAAAAGGGAGAGGATCACTTTTGGGCTCCATAACCCGAAACTAGTTCAGAGAGGTTGCAAGGGAGATCATGCAATATCACTTACGACACAGATTCACTCAATCTGCATGGGCTGCTCAGACAGATACAACCACACGTGGGACACTTGACGTGTTAGCCCTGATTCATCCAAGGGTACATTTGGCCCTGACTGGATGTGGGGTATCAGGGTATGCATCATGAGTCCGTTGCTTTTATTTGAATCCGAGCTTGGTCACTTCTCATGGTTAAACATTTGAGTGTGTCCAATCCCTGACCTTAATATTGTCTGGTTAGGGACAGCATCTGAAAATCGTGGGTTTAGAAGCACTACATGCCCCAAAAAGATATAGGCAGGGACACACTTCCTTGTCTGGCAGGTTCACAGTGGAAGGAATAAAATGGGAACAGTGACTCAGTGGGACCTAGCTTAGCCTTTACTTCCTTCAAGCCCTACTTTTCTATCATTTTAAGACTGACAAAGCCATAACACAGAGAGCAATAGAGACTGCGTGAGACGGTTCGTGCCAGTTGAACTGGTTGACTAAAAGGGCAGTGGCAATGCCATTGGATTAAGCAAATATACATGTGGTTATTGCAGCCTGCTGTGTACTACACATTTGCAGAGGAAAGGGGAAAATGTTACCAGCAGGCTGGAAGAGAAAAGTGAAAAGACCGCTGAATGTAAATAGCTAGAAACACAGGCTTGCAAGGGCCCAACTAGGAGCTGACAATGGAGGAAAACCTTAAGCACGCGCGTTAACAGGGTGTCTTAAAGCGTAAGGCACTTTTGCTGAGCGAGTGGCTCGGATATTGAATTGAAATAAGCACCTGCTACAATTCTTCAGTAGGGTGCGGTGCTGCCTGTTTTCCAACACATTCAATAAGGGATTCAGTGCAGATAAAAAGAACGGCAGAAGGTAAACAGACATGCAAACACAAAGCAGAACTGTGCCGTCTTTGGCTGCTCTCCAGGAAGGAAAGTACGGGGTGGGATTGGTAGTTGTCTCCCACAGGTGCCTGGAGGCACGGGCATTGCCCCGATGTGAGGTTCCTGTCTTCTACGGGCATGAAGAAAAACAGGTGGATACGGTGGCTCTGCTTTCAAGGTGCATTGGATGAGGTGGACGTAGAATTGTGCATGGGGTGCAGAGGCCTGTGGGGAGGATCTTTTGGGTACGTGCTCCACAAGAGCCTGCAGTGTTGGTGTCTGTTGCCTGTGAGGTGCCACCTGATGTCCTCCTACACCTCCTCGCCCCTCTTCTTCTCCTCTTGGTCCTCCCTGCTCTCTCCTTGAACCCACTGCCTGCCCCTGGCCCTTCTCCTCTCAGTCAGCCCCTCTGGGGGCTGCAGAAGGTCTGAGGCCACCTCCTCCCTTGCATGCATCAACCATTTCCTCACCTGGGTCTGTCTTTCAGGATGTGGCTCCTCTTCCGTTCAGCCTCCACTCCTCCAAAAAAAAAATTGCTGCCCAGGCATATGCATCGAAGGTCTGGGTAGCCCTCATGCATACACCATGATCCAGGAGGACTGACGGTTGCCGCCACCACCTCTGCCGTTCATTTTTGAGGGAGAAATTGTTTAGATTCACAGAGGCCAAAGAAAGGAAAAGATTTCAACATTTTTTCCCATTATGCTTTTTGGGAAAATAGGTGGCCTGGTGCACTCAAGGCCAGTAGTATAACCAAGGGAGGAGCAGTGGGGCAAACGTGGGCACCCAATTTAATGTTCAAACATAGCAACCAATGCAGCAGCTGCTGCCTCCCGCAACCCAGCAGCCACCACTGTCCTGTGCACAGCGACTGCCCAGCTACACCTCTCTTCAGGGCACTTTGCTTCAGGACTGCTTTGCGGGTGTAGGAAGTTGCATGGAGCTCCTCTGTGTAGGGGTATAACTATCATGAAAGGAGTTTCTAGATGGAGATCAGGAAGGATCATGCGGGTGGTGGTTCCGGTTAATACAGGACTCCGGGAAGTGACAGAGGCCCTGAGAAAGTAAACACTATCTGTTCCTTGCTGCCAGGCTGCTTTCAGAGCTGGTGCCAGTGGAGCTCATCACAAAGTGGCAGAGGAAGGTATGGTATTGGGATGGAAGACACGTGTACATGTAGCCATGCCCGGAGTTAGCTGTGAACATGCGAACTTGCAGACAGTAATCTAGCCTTGGACAACAAGGCGGGGGATTCCCAGCAGAGCTAATGAATCCAGGTGCAGCACCATGCCAATGCAACCCTACTGCTCCCAGTTTTGGAGCTAGGACATGGGTATCTTTGCACGGCACCACCTTGGTCTGTGCATTCCTACCGAAAGCTGCTGTGCTGAGAAGTGTCAGGGAGAAGATGCAAGAGCATCTGATAGAGCTTGGTGGCTTCTCATGGTTAAACATTTACGTGTGTCCAAGCCGGGATAGTAATATTGGCTGGTTAG